TTTTTTTGACCGCTTACTAGCTGGTATCGCAGGCTCCGTTGTTTAAGCTCATGTGTCGTAACGTTGCCTTCAACCGAAACACTTTTATGTTTAACTCAATATACATTGTACGACGTACTTTACCGTTTACTGTACCATTGCTACCTATACCTTTCTACGATACATATCCATAATACTCCCATACAAGTCTCGTACCCTCAACTCGTTCCAATCACCCACTGCCTTAATATCTATTTATTTATTTTATGCTGTTTATTTATCTTTTCTTTTTCATCTTTTTTCCTTAAAATCAATCACTTTTCACATACGTACCCGTATGTGACCGGTATTTTACCCCATAGAGAACTTTCATTTGCAGCTCGTCATATTGTCCATGCTCTCAGCATAGAATGAGCCTGCTCTACTGTTGTTCAGCGGTCAAAAAAAGCCGAGAAAAAAGTCGAGAAAAAAACCGAGAAAAAAGTCGTGAAAAAAGTCGAGAAAAAAGCCGAGAAAAAAATCGAGAAAAAAGTCGAGAAAAGTAAAAACAATCACGAAATTTGCATGGCACTAATCGGGCTCCGTAGAGGCTTGAACCACGACCTCCCGCACAACAGACTCACGCTCTTTTCTGCTGAGCTAACCGGGTGGCGATTGAAGATTTTAAACCCTTAAAAGTTACGAGGTAGATTTTACRAGCAGAACATAACAGTCTATTTATGTTGAACTTGTATACGACGGTATAACTTCCTGCATTTGCGTCAGTTTTTATTTTGTTTTGACCGAAATGCCTTGAAACAATTAGAGTTAATTGYATCCCATTTGGGTCACTCAGTACAATGAAATGTATAGAAACTGTATAGGCCACAATATCCAAGCTCTCCAGAAAAATAGTTCAAAATTGCATTAATTAAACCCCCAAAGTATCCATAGATACAGGTTTTACATAGGCATAAGTGTTTTACTGGGAAACACGTCACACGTGAATATAGCGATGCAGTCACCTCCGATGTTTTCCCGCTCATTTTAACGCGCGTTGAAACAAGGYTTTGTTCTTGGAGTTTGTGGATGTGTCAATACACGTTGGTTTGAAGATATGAAATTTATCTTCTCTTTTATTTCTTGTTGAAAATATTTCACCACTAGAAGATAAACTATATATCTTCGCGCMATTGTGTAATATCCTCTATTTTATTACTAGAGTGCACGCACTAAACCCGTACACAATAATTAGTACTAATTAGTACTATTTCATACAGAATCCTTTGTTTTCTATTGTTCAGATATCACTTTTTAGTGCTAAAAATTAGTATTAGTTTCACGGGTTTAGTCTAGAATGATTTTCACATGACCGTGAAAGAAAATAGACCATTTAGTTTGTAATAGTTGATAAAGAACAAAAGAAAATCATTGGTTTAGAGTCTACTACTAACTATTAGTTTGCCTATTCTTTCACGATCATATGAAAATCACTCTAGTGTGAGCACTCTACCARTAATAAATGTATTTGGTGATCCACCTATTTCTATTAAGTACTATAAAGTGCGTATGAGCCTTTACACAACATTTTCAGAATTGATTCTTTAGTGAATAGTTTTGAAAATATTTTGTCATTTTAGGGTCGGATCTTTAAATACGAAGGTTTATATTC